ACTTCTCGCACAAAAAACAGCACCGCCTTACATGGAGACTGCCAACTTCTTCACAGCGCTGGACTCAAATCGACCACGTCACCATCAGCCACTGCTGGAGAGGAATCGTTGAAGACTGCCGCTCCTACTAGTCAACACCCATGGACACGGACCATGCTCTGCTAAGAGCAAGATTCTCCCTACACCTGATAAAGAACCGCAGAAAAGCCACTGAAAACGGATGCGCACAATACAACGTCAGCAATGGTTGGAAATCGGCCTACGAAGCGGAAATATCAGAACGCCTCTCAGCTCAACCGTCAGCCGGAGGACTCAGCAAACGCTGGACGGTAATCAAAGAAGCGATCCACGTGTTAATCAAAACAACGGCAGATTCAGGCACACGATCAAATATAAAGCGATGGATCTCCCCGATCTCGGTTGCCCTGCTGGAGGCTCGCAGAGCCATTCCTTCGGATTCAAAATACGACAAAACGAGCAAATCCCTTAAACGCCAGCTTATCGAGTCTGAGGAATGACCGCGAGAAGTGGTGAGTAGGGAAGTGTAGAGAGATGGAGAAGGCTACGGCCATCGGTACCAGTCGCAATCTTTTTCTTTTGATTAGGAGTATAGGACCAAGGAAACCAGGTATAAGTGAGGTAATTAAGGAGTCTGACGGCACACTGATTAAAATTCAAGAACGTCGTCTTGAACGTTGGGCAGAACATTTTAAGGCACAGTTTAGCTGGTCCCCTAGGACACAAGACCTCCCCCCATCCGCTTCAACTGTGCAGATACTACCAGTTTAAATCAGTCCTCCATCTGAAATGGAAGTTTCCCGAGAAATAAGTTTTCCCGAAGGGCATAAGGCTTCCGGCCCCGACGGGCAGTCCCCATCCGTTTTTAAGAATGGAGACAGCCTTGGTTTTGGAGTTAAAAAAACTCCTGGGTTCAATGTACGAAAGGGATGAGGTTCCAACTGAATGGTGTGATCATGGTGATCATACCGACCTACAAGAAAGGTGACAGATCCTCCTGTGAAAATCACAGAGAAATTAGTTTAATCAAGATTGCATCTAAACTTGTCGCTGGTATCATACTCCGTCGATTGTCTACCGCACTTGAACGGTGTACGCGTGAGAACCAGGCTGGTTTCAGACTTGGTCGAGGCTGTATGAACCACATCTTCGCACTTCGTCAATTTCTAGAACATAGACACTCCTTTCGTAGACCCACCATTTTTATCTCCCTCGATCTACAAGCGGCTTTCGACTCAGTCGACCGCTCTAAATTCTGGCGCTGCCTTTCCCTGAATGGAGTGCCCGAGAAGTTAATTTCAATATTACAATCCCTTTATACTCATAGCCGAAGCCGAGTCCGAGCTTACGGCACTTTTTCATCCGAATTCACTACGGAAAGTGATGTTCGAAAGGGTTGTCCTTTCTCTCCGTTTCTATTTAACTTCGTGATAGATTCGATTGTTGAAACAGCCCTACCCTCGTGCGAGAATAGCGGTACCGATTTACTTCCAGGTGGCAGACTGTCTGATCTAGAATATGCAGACGACATTGTGCTACTAAGTGAAGACCCAGGTAGGTTGCAAACTTTCCTGGATAGTTTGAGTGCTAGTGTGTCCATGTTCAGCATGCGTTTGGCACCTTCAAAGTGTAAAATGCTACTACAAGATTGGGTTGGTTCAGTCCCCAACCTCACCTTGACCGGGGAAGTAGTAGAGGAAGTGGACAAGTTTTGCTATATGGGCAGAGACTTGGTCTCTACGGGAACAGGATAAAAATAGATTGTCGGTGTTCGAACACCGCTGTCTACGTTGCGTTGCACCAATCTGGTGGGGTAATCGGACGAACAATGCTGAGGTTAGGCGTAGAGTTTTAGGCATCCGCGGTCGTCCACTGAAGCAAGTGATCGACCTTCATAGATTACCCTGGTTGGAGTATCTGTTACGCATGTCACCAGATAGGTTGCCGGAGCGAGCGATGTTTGCGAAGGCTGGTGGCGGATGGAAAAAGATCAAGGGTCGTCAAACAAAGACCTGGCATGAGAGTATGAAAACCCTAACCAGAAGACTCGGTCACATAGACCCCGTTAGGCTCCCTGGCTGGGGACCCCGAGATCNCGAGATCATGGTCACCGATGGTTAGAGACACTGAGTGATATGGCTGGGTGTCGCAGACAGTGGCGTTTGTGCGTCCACTCATTATTCCCCTATCACTATTCTATATGAATTCTCCATCTTCTGCTTGCATTTGCTTTCAACATTCCAATCTTCACTCCGCTCTTTTATCCAAATGTGGCACCGAAAGACAGCAACCAAAACCGGTGCACGAAAGTGCATGGTTAATGGTTGTAAAAAGTGAACTATATCAACTTGATCGCATACTCTGTACAGGGCATATTCTTCATCTGGATCAGACCCAGCAATATCCATTTCAAACGAGACCAGAACTCGGGAGTGATCAAACCATCGTTTAAGCTCTTGATCACAATCAAATTAAACTGTGTAAAGGCAGCAGCAGCTTTGCAGTCGAAATACAATGACCACTACGTAAAGGTAGAGGTTTTTACATATGCATGCAATTCCATGTGATTCACGTCCTAAAAATGTACACATTTTCTTTTATTACACACCGGTGTGTGATGGACAGCAGACGGCGTGGAAGTCCACAGTCACGAGACTGGTAACCCAAGCCCTGGGACTTGGAGTAGCGAACCATGTAAGGCCCGGCTAGGTCAGGCGAGGTATAGAACCGGGCGACAGCAAAGCTGCCAACCACTGAAGTTGAGTGGCGGTGGCGGAGCTCGAACCTCGGACTAAAGGGTCCAAAGCACACCGGTGATAGCAACTAAACCACTGCGCCACCACCACAGTGATAGCGACCATACACACGATGAGTATGAAGCCACGAGACCCAGGGTAGCCAAAATACTGGGTGGTACATTTTTGTGCATACCGTGGTTAATCACTCATTCTTTCAAAGAATGCCAGTTTTCAAATACAAGTGGTGCATTATGGGGTTTACATAGGTCAATATACCTATGGAGTCTTTTTACCGGAGTGTAGAGGACAGATACGGGCATGTAGAATTGAAAATGTCACTTACCGACTCCATAATTTAGCTTCCGTGCGAGCCAATGTGAATACTCCCAGTCCATCTGATGTCAATGCGCAGGCGATAGGCACTGTTCGATGACCCGGAGCACTGATTTCATTCAAAAGACGAACACAACTGCTTTTCGCAGAACCCCGACTGATTTGTACTGTTTGTACTTTTGAGGAACCGGTAGCCGGCAAATTCGCTTCCAATTCCTCGACTGCATTGTTTTTCAGAGCACACAGAAACTACAAGGGAATATGGAGGGATATTTGCTGGAAATTATCAAATAGGAAGGTGTGAGGTTCGACAAGATCAAAATAACTCAGACGATGTTGGAGATGATGTATATATAGGCTAAACCACGTTGGAAATCTTTCAAAATTTTGGAGGGTTTTGTGTTACCAAACCAATGCCTTGAAATCACGGCAGCCGAACATTTACGATTCAGTGATGTAGCTCGATCAACGAATTTATGCAACGAACACCATACACAACATACCCACCCTTGCAAGATTTCTAATTCCATGGAGTCTGATGACATGCACCATGATACCCAATTCGACTGAGCACGCTATGGAAATTAATGAAGAAAGTAGGCGGCTTTTGTGTTTCAGTCGATAGCCATTTTAGCGAAGAAACACCATCTTCCGTACAAACAATTCATTTGACTTTCTAAAACCTCAAGAATCCACAGCCTTTGGAAGAGATCAAAATTGGGATGTGTGATGACTTGTTTTAGTCATTGTCACTATGGCGGTGTAGCACAGAATTCAAACAAACACGACCGGTATTCAAAGAAAAACGGGAATTCGCCAGGACACGTGGATGAGCAACGCTGCATTCGAATGTAGGTCAGGGCAGTGGCAAAAACGTTTGACGATCAGGACTT